AGAAAAGGACAAAAAGAAAAATAATAGTATTAAAGTTGAACTTCAAGAAATAAATGAATGCTGGCGAAGTAATAGTATTACCACTGTCAGTTTGAAACAAGAAAAGGACAAAAAGAAAAATAACAGTATTGAAGTTGAACTTCAAAAAATAAATGCATGCTGGCGAAGTAATAGTATTACCACTGTCAGTCTGAAACTATCTTTTTTTCCAGATAGATTTCAGTTTGGTTTGTACTAAAACACTTCAAAAAATGTGATGATAGACGAAATGATATCTCCAAAAAGAAGAATTTAAGAAAAAGCAAAGCTAGTTTAATGGAAACATCAGATAACTCTAGCTCCCTAAAGGAGACCAAGACGAATGGATCTTGTTTATTTTGAGATCTAAATATATTTGAGATTCACACATGTACATTATACAGTTTCAATTGACAGTCCCTTATTAGACCAGCTCCTGTCATATTTAATTCCAGAGTCATCCCATTTCATCATCCTATTAGCTATGAGGTTCTAAAGATAACATGCTAATGATCACAATAATGAGACTCAATTTTAGTGATATCCAACCAGCACCTTGATGTTACCATAACCAACCTCTCACACCTCCCTACCGGGGCATCTAAGCAAATTCTCTTCACATACTCAAACCATCCTCAAAGGAAGGCATCAATCTACTATAATTTAGTCCTTTTTGTGCTTAAATGTAAAATGAGATTTTCTAAATGTACACTAGTAGGCTTATACGGGGGGAAGTACTCATGCTACAAATACAATAGATACGCCTTAGTCCCAAACAAGTTGGGTCAGCTCCCAATGGAAGAGGAAAAATATTCTTTTTTTAATAGGTAAATAATTTTATTATCATTGGGGAAACCCCAAATACAAGCCATATACCAAAAGAAGTGAACCTACATCAAATATGGTTCTCAACAAAAGAGATTCAATCCTCTATACAAAAATGGACCTCGTAAGTAGACCAAATAAATCTAGAGATAAAACACTACTTGACATCTTTAAAAATCTTGTTTCAACCCTTCAAAACTCTTCCTATTTCTCTTTTTCTAAATGACCCACATGATTGCTAAAGGGGTAATCCTCCCTGTCGTTTGACTTCTATTTCCCCTCCTCAGACCAACTTTGCAGAGTCACCTTCCTGTGCTTGGCATCACCCATTGCATCCCAATTAAACTGAGAGCCACCCTCCATAACCGACTAGCCACCTTGCAACGCTACAGGATCTACACTTTCAGCTAAATTCTTAAACATAAAACACCAACTAACATATGTGATCCTCCATGGAAAAAACATTCTTCTTAAAGCAACATCTAGTGAGTCGGTATTTATGAGTGGTTACTGGTTAGGGAACTTCATTAATCTTTATGCTTTGAGCCCTTCTAGTATCCTTAATATTTTCCGCTTCATTTAAATAATGTACCAAATTGTTCTCTTTGTTTTTAATTTATCTTTAATAATGTCCTACTAGCTACAACCAATGACTTCTTTGAGCAATGGCAGATATTTGCTACTCATTGACTGCAGAAATTGAATTACTCGACACAAAAAAGTCAAACGTGATCAGAATAAAAAATGTTGTGCATCACACAAGAAGTTGCTAGTTGCTACTTCACGCAGCACTATAGCCAATCCATAAATCCCCTATACATTAGCCTGCAACTTCAACTCTCATCAACTTTAACAGGATCCAATCTCAGATCCTAGGATCGAGAGCTAAGCATCTCCCTGATATGAGTGGTTGCAAAGTTGTGATGTTGACTGGTAAAGATTGGTAAAGATAGTCAAGATCAATATTAATTTTGATACATTTACTACCGGAACCTTAATATAGTTAGTAGTATCAGCCCTCAAACAAGCTTGAGACCATGTCGATATCAGTTCTGAAGGAAAGGACAGGTATACTTTCTTGGTAAAGAAGTATGGGTACATAGCTAATAGCAGTAACACAGAGCTGGAATTCCACCGTGGTAACAATTAGCACGACTGGGTACTTGTAATAGAAATTTCACAAAAAGAACCCAAAGGAATCATAAAAGCAAATAGCTGCAATTTCCAATTCTTAGCGACCACAAAAAGAAGCAAAAAGGTTAATCAACAACAAATTTAGCAGCAGAAAGGACCTTAAATGTGATTCCAGTGGCAAACCGAAGTAAGCAAAAATATAAAATCAATTAGATATTTTCAGTATCTTGTAACCAAATACCAAATGCAAAATCAAACTCGAGGTATGTTATAAATTCTGTTCTTGCTACACAAGAAAAATAATCAATTTTTGACTCACATAGCACAAGTACACTTGTAACAGAAACATTAAGATTCAGACCCAGACATCATCAGTACACTTGTGACAGAATTTCCACGTACCGATCATAAGAAATAACAAAATTCAAAGAAAAAAAGCAGGTAAATGACTGATAATAAAAGTATAGATTACATAACAGTTAAAAACAATAAACCACATAGAGAAGAGGTACATTATGTAATATGATTTCCAATAAAAAATAAACCCTAAGAAACAACAGAACATACAATAATTAACTTTCCACAGCAAGACTAAACCCTAACAGCACATTACACGTCTGGAATAAAACAACACTGAAAATGCACATTGTGAAATGATTCCAAAAAAAAAACTATGAAAAGAAACTGTTCAACAACACACAAAAACAACCAAATGCAAAATAAAAGTAAGAAAAACAAAAAAGGAACGAGTAAAACGAGTACATACAGGTTCAGAGTCGAGTTTAATAGATGGACCAATGGCTCCTTCGCTGGAGAGAAGTTGCCGTAACCTGGACGGCAAACTCGATCTTAAGGTCGTCATATCCAACCTCTACTTTCTCTCCTTGTATTCACTAACCAAAACACAAATCCAACACACAAATCAGAGAAAAAATAACAAAATCTCTGCACACATCAAATACATCAGAAAAAAACGCATAGAACATTAAATCGATCAAATAAACACACAAAAAAAGCAGAATCGATAGTGACTGATTTATTATATCGGTACCTGAATTAACAAAGTCACGGACGGGAGACTCATCCAGAGAGTGTGTAGAGACTGTACAGAAAATAGGGTTTATAGAGAGAAGAAGAAGGAGAAGAACAAGGAAAACCCCAAAGCCAAGAAAGAGAAAAATGGTGAGAAGGGGGGGTGAGGTGGGGGTAGGGGGGTTCCTTTTGCCTTTTGTGTGTGAAATTGGTCTAACTAGTACTAACCCTGGGAACGATGACAGGGGAGAAGCTTATATACACGTAGAGATGCACACAAATTGAGTCTTCTTCTATTTGAGGGACTTCTATTCAAGTCGGTTTTGCTATTTGGTCCACTTTTTTTCCTTCTCTTCTAATTTTGCCTTTAAGAAATTATTTCTTAAGGTAAGTGTAATAATTTCGAAATAAAAATTGAAATTAATTTATGTTTATATGTGATTTGACGTGTTAGATAATTTTAAAATTATTTTATTATTTATATTAAAATAGTTTGATTACTGTTTAAACTCATGAAATATTTTTGTTTAGTTCACATCTTATGTACCAAACGTTTCTTTTGGAGTTCTTATTTTTGGTTTAAGACATAGTCAGCTTCTTAAATTTGTTAGTATATTTGATTTAGACACTCGAACTAAGTTATGTTTGAATTGAACACCTCAACTCTTAATAAGGTGTTCGAATTAGATATTTTCGATTCAAATTATAGTTTAAAAAACATGTGTATTTCATTTGTCTATTAGGTAGTTAAATTGAACACTTAAAGTATGTCATCTCTTTTAAATAGAAATTTTCATAATCACAGAAAAAAATGAAAGTATCAAGAGTTATATGTTTTAAATTTAAAATTAGAATAATGCTCAAGGACAGAAATAATTTGTAAAGATAACAGTAATAAAAGAAATTGATTCATAGTTTGGTTAAGGGGAGAAAGTTATGCTTCATTGATAGGGGTCCAAAGCAAGATGAGAACGGTTGATTCAATCTGGAACAAAACTCTTAATCAAGGCGTAGATTCATAGTTTGATTAGTTGTGCAAGGCATGTTGTTGACTAAAAACATATTACAAAGATGAATATATCAGTGGATAACCCAATATGTAGTTTATGTGATGTGCAAGTTGTAGGGACACAAAATTACATTTTTTTTTAATTTGGCTGGACCAAGGAAATCACTAAAACAATGGTTCATTGGGTTGGATTGTAGATTCCAGGATGAGATGTTAAACAAGTACTGAACAAAATTATGAGGAAGAACTGGAAGCAACTGTACAAGGAGATAATCACAGCACTTTGGGGCTCAATAGTATATCACACGTGACAGACAATAAATTGGAGATTGTATAGGGGTATAATTGTGACTATATTACACAGATTAAGTAAAGTTGATGCGGCTATTTGGTTCAAAAAATTGTCATGTAATCAAAGCGATATATAAGGCTTAACTTACATAGTCCCCTTCTACGAAACTAGTTGTGAAGTTAGGTGTTTTTAGGTGTATTGATTTGGTTGTTAAAAGTAATATTTACATTTGTTACCAAAAATAATAATAATATGATATTATCTTTAAATGTACGAATATTAAATTTAAGTGCTTGACATGTATTATATCATGATGGTGAAGAAAATAAAGTAAGGAGTTTTTTCATATTTTTATGAATTTTGGCTAAGACTTTCATCTTAATCTCATCTTCTGAAAAGGGATGTAAAATTAGCTAAAATGATTGTATATTTTCAAGTTTATCCTAATAGTCCCATCTACGAAAAAGGAGATATATAATTATCTAGAATAATTATATATTTTTATATTTATGTATAACTTATATGACAACATTCATTTCCTGGTTAAGTTATTTTCTCAGTAATGATAATATGTAAATGAAAAATAGTTTATCCTAAGAGTTTTTTTTTTTTTTTTGAAATGGTGAGTCTGTCGACCATTTTATTGATCAAATATTTAACCACACAAAATTCGGGCAAAGCCCACCAATCTAAACAATGAGGCCGGATTTAGGATAACCCAGCCCAATACTAATTGAACTACACTATGCAGCTGAGAGTGTTCTCTACACTTTCCTAATTGTTGTCCACTTCTCTTCCCCGTATTGCCTGCCTCTCTCCATTGAAAATTGCATCTACTTCGTCTCCTGCTGTGAGTATTTCGCACCCTATCTCTTGATGATTCTTGATGGCTTTGTCGATACAAGGTATGATCTTCTCCCTTTCCTCTTTTGCCATGTTGTTTCCTTCTAATCATTTTCGATCTATCTCAGGTCGTCGTGATTTCTCTCTGTAGAGGTACTTTTGTGGACAAAACCCTCTCTGGTTGCTGTTGTTTTCCTCTATCTCCAAATGAATGACCCCGATCTTGCTATCTTCTCTTCTTGGTGGACATATTTTACAGCAACGACTAGTCCTAGCTAGACTTCCGTCATAGCTTCCATCATTCATCGCCCTAACACCGTTTGTTATGTATTTAACTTTACCATATTTATCTGCTTCCTCTATCAATCTCATTGTGTGGTTATCTTTCTTGTTTTAATTCTGATGCTTGGTATTTAAGCTTTATCCATGTTTAGTATTTTCTTCATGTTGCTGGGTAGTTCTTGAAATGTATTGTATGTCTTTGTGTCTTGTGTTTCCACCACCTGATTTGCTAATGCATCTACTAGGTTATTACCTTCTCTAAATGTATGGACGATGTTTGCATTTAACATCTGCATAATCCTAATAATCTCATCAACCCTCTCCGTAATCTCCCAGGGGATTCGCCATAGCCTTTGAATGATGTTCCTCATAATCAATGAATCAGTTTCGGTAGTGACTCTGTTGAAATTACAGATAAAGAAGCTCCAATTTTATCTTCTCCATCTTTAGAGATGAAGAAGAAAAAGTATCATGGTCTGAATTTGGACTCACAAGTACGTGGCAATCATCAAGCTATATCATGGAAGAGATCTAATTGCAGCCATACATTTAAGAGATTAAATCCTAACCATCCACCACAGAGGAACCTAGAAGTTTCCACCAAATCACGTGAGAAGCACAATGCCAGCATAGAAAGGAATAAAAGTTGTTATAAAAGTTACATAGACAACCAATAGGATTTAGACAAATATATTTGTATTTAGAATATTCTTAATTTATTTATTATTTTTTAGTCTTATATAAGGACATGTATTCTGCACAGAGAAGAACAACGAGAAAATTTCCCAATTACTGCTCTTCAATTTTCTACATGGTATCAGAGCAGCAAATCAATTGATCAACCCTAAATCTCGTTTGAGCAATGACAGGAGAAACAACTGCCACACTCACTACCACCCAAACGATCACTAGTAACACATCAGTGATTGATCATAATCACCCTTATCATCTTCATGCTTCTGATGCACCTGGTATGACTATCGTGAATAACCCTTTTGATGGAAAGGGTTATCAAGGCTGGAAGAGATGTGTTCTTATAGCCTTGTCAGCTAAAAACAAGCTGGGATTTATCACCGGAGCACAACCAATCCCAGCTGATGATTCTCCAGATCTGCAGGCTTGGAATAGATGCAATGACATGGTGACCTCGTGGATCTTGAATTCATTGTCAAAGGAAATCGTAGACAATGTGATTTACTCGAGAACTGTGAGAGAGCTATGGATGAGCTTGGAACACAGATTTGGTCAGTCTAATGGTGCGAAGTTGTATCACCTGCAAAAGGAGCTCAGCAAGTTAATTTAAGGCACATCTAACATTGCAGGATACTTCACCAAATTGAAAAGACTATGGGATGAACTGGATTCCCTTAATACTAATGTCAAGTGCAATTGTGTGTGCATATGTGAAGGGAAACAAAAGTTACAGAAATCTTTGGAAGATGAGAGACTCATGCAATTCCTTATGGGATTGAATGACACTTATTCACAAGCTAGGGGTAATATATTGATGATCAATCCTTTGCCTGATATTAATCTTGCATTATTCTTTGTATTCTTGCAGGATGAAAACCAAAGAGAATCTTATGTAAATTCTACTGTCAATCCTGATTCATCTGCATTTATGGTTGGAAATTCACATCAATATAGAATCTCTAAACAGGGTCAGAGATCTATTGCTTCTTCAAGCAAATTTGGAAATGTTTACCCCAGACCTGCACCTGCTGGATCTCAACAGACACAGCTACAAGGATTTCTCATACAGAACCAGAATCCAAAATTCAAAGGCAAGAAAGCAAATTACAACCCCAATGTCACCTGCACTTACTGTGGGAAAACTGGACATGTGGAACTTAAATGTTTCAGACTCATTGGTTTTCCAGATGATTTTCAGTTTACACATGAGAAGGGTTTCAATAATCAGGTAAAGGGAAATGGAGATCAAATTAGGGGAAATTGAGTCATGACTATGGCAGAAACAGACAACAAACAGAGTTTTGGAATAGATATTTCAAATCAAAATTACTCCCAGGAACAATACAATCAGTTTGTGAAGATGTTCAAACACATGAAGATGGAAGAGGGTACCAACTCAGGAATGGAGATAAATGCTAATGCAGTGGCTGGTACAATTATTAAATATCTTGGTTTATGTTTTTCTGTGACTAACTCCAGCACCTGGATCGTAGATTCAGGTGCTTCTGAACATATGTGTTTTGATTCAACTTCTTTTAGATCATTATCTTCTCTTACTCCTCCCTTGACTATTAATCTTCCTAATTGTCAAACTATTCTTGTCACTCATATTGGGACTGTATCTCTATTTTCTGATCTCATTTTAGAAAATGTGTTGTACGTTCCTAGTTTCAAATATAATCTTATGTCTGTGCATAAATTTTGCAGTCAATTTTCTTGCACACTGTTTTTTACTCTTAATCATTGTGTGTTGCAGGGCCTTTCAATGAGGAGGCCTCAAGTTTTTGGTGAAGTTTCAGAAGGTCTTTATCTGCTCAAGCCTAAAGTCAAAGAGTCTGTTTTCAATTTCAGCAAGAACAAAACTGTTTTACCTTCTACAGTTTCTAATAGTTCTTCAGTTTCTTTTCCCTATTTCAGTAATGCTAGTTCTTTTTCTTTACCAAATTGTAGTAGTACTACATCTAATGTAAAGTTATGGCACATTAGATTGGGCCATATACCTTTCTCATCAATGAAGAATGTCAGTTTCATTTCAATTCATTCTAATTCTGATTGTTTTTGTGACATTTTTCCTAAGGCAAGGCAGTCAAGACCTCCTTTCCCTATCAGTCATATATTAACTAAGTCAATTTTTTATCTTATTCATATAGATACTTGGGGACCCTACAAAGTATTTACACATGATAATTATAAATACTTCCTTACCATAGTAGATGACTAGAGTAGAGGAACATGGACTTACCTCTTAAGCACCAAAAACAATGCCTTTTCAGTTTTACAAAACTTCCTTTATATGGTAGAAAGGCAATTCAATCTTAAAGTGAAGAGGATAAGATCAGACAATGCAATGGAGTTGGGCAAAAGTATTGTAGCCATCAATTTTTTCAACTCACAAGGTATTTTGCATGAAACTTCATGTGTTGCTACCCCTCAACAAAATGGCGTTGTTGAAAGAAAGCATACACATTTACTTGAAATAGCTTGGGCTCTTTTGTTTCAATCTCAGGTTCCTTTAGCATATTGGGGGGAGTGCATCCTTACTGCTACTTTTCTAATAAATAGATTACCTACTAGAGTGCTTCATGGACACACACCTTATCAAATACTTCATGGGAAAACACCAAATTATGACATTTTAAAGTGTTTTGGTTGCTTATGTTATGCTAGTACTATTTCTCATGGAAGGGGAAAATTTGAACCAAGAGCTAAGGCTTGTGTTTTCCTTGGATATCCTTCAAATCAAAAGGGTTACAAAATCTTAGAATTGGATAGCCATAAAATAGTCATATCCAGAGATGTTTCTTTCTTTGAGGCTGTATTTCCTTTCACTGTTCCTTCTCCTAATTCTACTTCAATTTTCCCTTCTCCATCTCCTGATACTCAGTATTCTACTGTCATTGATTCATCCTTTGATGTTTCAGTTCCTAACATTCCTTCTCCGGAGTCCTCAGATTCTCCAGATTCTTTCTCTTCACCTCTAAACTGTCCTTCTCCTCAAACATCTCTTGTAACTGATTCTAATTTGCCCACTGGTTCTCTCCCCTTAAGAAGATCAGAAAGATCGACTAAAGGGACTCTACCTGTTCATCTTCAGGATTATTTTTGCAACAATATCTTTCTTACTCCTGTGACCGAATCCTGTTTTGCTGCCCCTATCACCTCTACCGGTCTATCTCCTACTGGGATTTCACCATCTAATCAGCTCTTACTAGAGTCAGTTTCCCATATCACAGAACCTAACAGTTACTATTAAGCTTCTCTTCATCCAGGTTGGTCCAAAGCTATGCAAGAGGAGATAACAACTCTGAGATCAAACCACACATGGGATGTGGTTCACCTTCCCTCAAATAGAAGGGCATTACCTTGTAAGTGGGTATACAAGGTAAAGCATCGTGCAGATGGTTCCATTGAGCGACTAAAGGCAAGATTGGTTATTAGAGGAGACATCCAGTGAGAGGGTATAGATTTCAATGAAACATTTTCCCCCGTGGTTAAAATGACCACGATCAGGTGTCTTCTATCTGTTGCAGCTAAGAAACAATGGCTTATATCACAGTTTGATGTCAATAACGCATTTTTGCAAGGTGATTTGCAAGAGGAAGTGTACATGAAATTCCCCCCCGGTTTAGCTCCATCTAACTCTACTATGGTCTGTCGACTCAGAAAGTCCTTATATGGTCTCAAGCAAGCTTCCCGGCAGTGGTATGCCAAGCTTGCTGGTGCTTTGCATTTCAAGGGATATACTGCATCTCTGAATGATTATTCTTTATTTTTTAAACATACAGGAGATTTGGTTTCTATTGTTGCCGTGTATGTCGATGACATTCTCATTACAGGAAATGATTTAATAGAAATTCAAAGTCTCAAAGCTTTCTTACATGTTGAGTTCAAAATCAAAGATCTTGGTTTGCTTCATTATTTCCTAGGAATGGAAATTTCGCGCGAAGACAGTGGGATCATAATCAGTCAACAAAAGTATACCTTAGATCTTCTTAAGGAGTTTGACATTTCCCATTTGCATCATGTGTCTTCACCGATGGATCCTTCTTGCAAATTAACTGCAGATTCAGGAAAGTCTATGTCAGATCCAACAATTTATCGGCATCTTATTGGAAAGCTTAATTATTTAACACACACACGTCCAGATCTGTGCTATGCTGTTTTGAGCCTCAGTCAGTTTATGCAACAACCTTCTGAAAATCATTTTGCAGCTGCTTTAAGAGTTCTTTGTTACCTGAGAGGATCACCTAATCAAGGCATTTTTTTATCAGCTTCTCCTTCTTTCATCATCTCTGCTTTTTGCGATGCGGATTGGGCTTCTTGCCCCGACTCTCGCCGTTCAATTAGTGGGTTCTTTATTTGTCTGGGAGGTTCTCCGGTATCCTGGAAATTGAAGAAGCAAGCTTCTATCTCTTTGTCATCTGCAGAAGCCGAGTATCGATCGATGCGTCGATTGGTTGCCGAGTTGACTTGGTTAACTCGTCTACTTGCTGATCTGTCTGTTCCTCCTTTGTTGCCGATCCCTATTCGTTCAGACAGTCAAGCGGCGATTCATATTGCCAAAAATCCCGTGTTTCATGAACGAACGAAACACGTGGAGCTCGACTGTCATTTCGTCAGGCAACAGTATCTTTCTGGACTCATTTCTCTCCATTTCGTTCCTTCCAAGGATCAACTTGCTGATGTTTTCACTAAATCTCTTTCGGGGCCTGCTCATCATCGGATTCTTGGCAAGATGGGTGTCATTTCTCTCCCCTCCATCTTGAGGGGGGATGTTGAAATTACAGATAAAGAAGCTCCAATTTTATCTTCTCCATCTTTAGAGAGATGAAGAAGAAAAAGTATCATGGTCTGAATTTGGACTCACAAGTACGTGGCAATCATCAAGCTATATCATGGAAGAGATCTAATTGCAGCCATACATTTAAGAGATTAAATCCTAACCATCCACCACAGAGGAACCTAGAAGTTTCCACCAAATCACGTGAGAAGCACAATGCCAGCATAGAAAGGAATAAAAGTTGTTATAAAAGTTACATAGACAACCAATAGGATTTAGACAAATATATTTGTATTTAGAATATTCTTAATTTATTTATTATTTTTTAGTCTTATATAAGGACATGTATTCTGCACAGAGAAGAACAACGAGAAAATTTCCCAATTACTGCTCTTCAATTTTCTACAGACTCCTCTTAATCCCTTCTCTTGGCAGTGTTTCAAAGCACTATATATGGCCCTAGATTCATCTTCTATATTTGTTGTTATACCAATTTCCTAATCTTCTGTAAACATCATATCGTAAGAGTCTCATCTATGGAAAAAGAGATATATAATTATCTAAAATAATTATAGATTTTTAAATTTATTTATAACCTATATGACAACATTCATTTTTTGATTAAGTTATTTTCTCAGTAGATAATATGTAAATGAAAAATAAATTATTTTTGGTGTCATAGTTCTTTACCAATGTAGAGAAGGTTGCACAATTATATGTTTGAATGTATAGCAAGTGCAACACTGAAAATTAATGATAAATCATTTATAAGTATTATATGTATTTGAATTGTTAGTCTTGATAATTTAGTTTATGTAAAACAATAATAAAGTTCTCAAAGTGATCATAGATGTTTGTTAAACAGAACCATATAAGATGGTCATATAGCAATTGAGATTAAGAGATAAATAACAAAATTCAAATAGTACTTTCAATCTTTTATTAATCCCCTTTTCGCCATAAGAAGAATATGCGAACATTTTCAAAATTTAAATATTTTGCACAATTTCATGATTTACTTCTCAATAAAAAACATATTTCAAAATTATTGATGCCATGATTTTTTTTCTCTCTGTTTTAAAGTGGAGATTGTTGGTCACTAGTGTTTTTTTTTTCTTTTTCTTGCTTAAATCATATATTTAAGTATAATATGATTGCAACACCAAATGAATAACTTATAATTTTATTATATAGTATATTATTTGTATTTGTACAATTCTTGACAATTTAGTTATTTAATAATAACAACGAATAGGTTCTCAAGTGATAAGGATGTTCGTTGAAAAATAAAATCTAAAATATGATCATATATTTACTAGTTTACTTATGACAGAGATAGTAAAATCTAAATAATATTTTTAATATCTTGATAACCACCTTCTTGGTTAAGAAAAGAATGTGGATCCGACTTTTTAATTTCACTAGCTCTTCATTTACAATTTTAATGTATATTAAAGATATAATCAAAATTTAAAGCTTATGAATCTTGTTTTTTTTAGTAATTAAATTTTAGATTATAATTTGTACAAGTTAGATAATTTTTTAAAACAAATCAAAGGTGTCAAACTTTTCCCACAGAAGATACATCCATCCTCATATACTGCAGAAGTATTATAAATACGTATCCTCGAATTTATCACGATCTAAACATATCTCTAATTATGATGATACCAACTATCTCTAAGTTAAGCAAACCAAACATGTATTACTCAAGACATGCTAATTAGGTCTAAAATAGTGAAACACCCAAATAAAGGATAAATTTAATACAATGTGAAAGCCATAAACCCCAAAATTGAAACTAATTAAACTCCCCAAAATTTATTGTTGCATTATCATGAACAAAATTAAAGAATGAGTCTAACAACACAAGAAAGTTACTCAAATAAAATGGATGCCATAGCCACTATGATAAAACAAGTGGCTTATTATAGAGAGTGATAGCAACTAGAACTCACTTCAAGATTGTACTGGTACTATATATTAATATACACAAAGAATACAATAAATGCAACATGATTTTAATAATTAACGTGTATAAAATTCAATATTTATAGTTTACATGAAAATAACATAAATAGAGCAATAACATAAATATAAATAACATAAGTTCTTTACCTATAATGAATTTAAGCAAAGAAAATAGTCAAGAAAACAATATAGGTGGATCTTTATCACACAATTTATCCCTCAATTCGTCAATTTTTTTACAATCAAAGTACACACTACAATGAAGGTACATACTAAGTCAATGCCTCACGGATGAATATGGGTACATGTCTATATAATACCCCGCATTTGTGAAAGTATAATTTTTAAACGAGCTGTATAAAAAAATTTAAACGAATGTATCTTTCATGTTATAAAGCGTTAAGATTAAATGAATTTTTTGCCTTTGCATGCTAATAAGTTCTATATGTTATAAGTTCAGTAAGTTTCAAAAGTCTCTTATGAGATTTAGATGCTCATATTACAAGTCCAGTGGTCATAATAGATTACAATAACTAAATTCTTTCTATAAATAAATAATACTCCATATATTTGTGTTCAGAAATTAAAATATATATTTTACGTAGGGAACAAAAATTAAATATAATCCGTTTAAGAGGCAATTTGTAAAAAAACTTCTTATTATTGTCGTACCATTCCATCCAATTCCGTAGCATATTTGTACTGAATGTTCACCTTTTTATGTGTCTCATTTATGTATTACTAGATGGGGGTGGCCCGTGCTTAGCACGGACCCAACATTTTATATTTTTCGACAGTTCTATTAAGGGGTGTGAACGATAATATGTACAACAAAAATTAAGAAGTCATTTATATTCTCACTTTATTTACAATTACACAAACATGAAGAAAAGAAACCAAATACTTTTTTAATGCTAATACGAGTCCATTTACATCGATCTAGAACTATCCTCAGCTTGAAATGACAAATACGTGATGGAAAAAGATGAAAAGAACTACTACTACTGCAGTGAAGTAACCTGCAATAGTAAAAAATTGATTAGGAAAAGAAAAATCAACATCACACAAATCTCAGTTAGGAACATACGAGTAGAAAATTTTCATAATAAACTAAGCAAAAATCAGAAAATTACTCAAGAATTGGATCCCAAATTGACAACAGATCTACATCCTATAGAGACGAAAATCAGGGGAAAAGGGGTGAGAAAAATAAGAAAATCAAAATCTAAAAAATCAAAACAAAAGAGTGAGAAGATAAAATTGAGAATTTTCAATTTTGTACAACTAACAAAGCTTATGAAAATATGTAATGCAACCAGAGGAACCAAATCAAATGTGTGATAGGCACATCTTGTATCGGTCCATTAAACCATTTGTTCTTTAATTTTTTAAATTTAATATTCACGCACCTGGATCTTCGCAATGACCATCTCAACGCTGCTTCCAGACACAAATTTATAAGATAACTTCTACTGAGAAATAGTTGAAAGATGAAAAGATTAAAAAAAAATTGTTTCTGAACATTCAAAATGATATCTACTCTGTAACCTCGAATGTCCTGCAATGATCGTATATCAAAAGCCACGTTTACTATCAGAAAACGAAAGAACATTTACTGAAAATAACCGAGAGTCATATTCATTACTATTAAGTTTTTAAAAATCTACCAAGATAAATTGTATGATTGATATCAAACTCCGAACTATGTCAAACGTTAAGGCTTCCATTTCTTCATGTGTTGTGCACTGGGAGGGGAGCATTTACGTAGACTCTCACTTTTTAAAACTTTATATAGGAGAAATGCCTAATCATAAATTACTATATTCATTTTTTTGGTAAGATCATAAACTACTATATTCATGTGCCCTTAACCTTTTTTTTTGGGAAGTTTTCAGTCAAACTCATTGTCAACCAAAGTAGCATTCTATTCTTAAATAAACTATAAAATTTGAAATACCAGCTAATGAATTATCATGACCATTTGATATCACAATTTAAGTAACTGAAAAAAGTTATTTTTGATAGAGAAACTGAAATAAGTTCCCTGTGATTTATCAAGGAACTGAAAAGTTCATTCTTACCTCGCATAATATGAGCTGCCCACATATGATTATAAAGCTCATTCTTATCTCGCTTAGTATGAGCGGTCCACAAAACACTATCAAGTAGATAATTTAAATACACTATGAAGCAAACCATGCACTTGAGTGACAACAGAAAGGTATTGTCTTAGGGTTAAGGGAGAAGGACTGTGCGAGAAATCGAATTTAGTTTTATTTATCATGTCTTAATGCTAATTTAAATACCAAAAAAATGTGAAAACATAGTTAAAACAATATGAATGAAGAGATTATTTACTTGATCTGTTGTTTGCCTTCTGTAACACCCCGTATTCGAAACAGACCAAAAATACAGATTTTGAAAAGTTGAAGGTGCAACTTACGGTCACCATCCACGGACCGTAGGTCAGACCACGGCCCGTGCTTGTGGTCCGTGGTTCACCACTGCAACCCTTCCCAGACCCAGCTCAGAAAATTGGCTAAGTCCCGACTCATGGACAGACCCACGGTCTGTAGATCAGACCACGGTCCGTGGCCTGTGTCCGTGGATCGAGACTTCCCCTACCCAGCCTCTGACACAAACTACGATCCACCAGAACGGACCGTCATTCGATCCACGGTCCATAGGTCTGACCGTAGATGAGGGTC